CCAAGAGGGACGGACAGGGGACCGATCACGACGACGACGACGACGACGACGACGACGACGACGACGTCGACGACTACGGCGACGACGACGACGACGGGCGAAAGCGAGAACGAGAGAGAACGACAGCAGGGCCAGGAAGAACACGAAGTAGGCCACGAAGGGCGACAGCGAGGACACGAAGAAAATGAGTTTGGGGCCACGAAGAGCGCAAACGGGCGGGAGCCACGAAGGGCAGATAATGCGGGGCCACAGAGGCAACGATGGGGCCACTGAGGGTAGCAACTGGGCCACGTAGGACAGTGAGGGGGCCGCAAACGGCGACAGCGGGGCCACGAAGGGCATGCACATGGGGCCACAACGGGCGCGACTCCTGGGGACCTGGGTGTCGGGAGCGCGGCGCTTGAGCAAATTGCAAGAAATTCCAACGCAAGGGCGCTATCCTTCAGTAAATTGCAAGCAAATCTCCAGCGAGAGCGCGACTCCACAGCACCAGGAGAGCGATTCCTGAATAAATTGTAAGGAGGTCCCAAGCGAAAGCGCGATTCCTGAATAAAATACGAGGACGTCTCGGGCGGGGGCGGGGGTGCTGGCTAAATTGTAAGGAAATCTCAAGCGGTAGCCGTTGTTGTTGTAACCCGGGGGCAAGGGGCCCAGTTTGAGCATCAAGACTTTCCCTGTCAAAAAACACGGTGCGAACGACGAGGGGGGCACTTGAGAAAAAGCAGTATGCACCGGTGGGGGGATCAACAATAATTATTCTTCAGAAATGAGAACTCAACAACAACAACAACAACAACAACAACAACAACAACAACAACAACAACAACAACACCAACACCAACACCAACAACAACAACAACAACAGCAGCAGCAGCAGCAACAACAACAACAACAACAACAACAACGACAACATCAACAACAACAACACCAACAACCACAACAACAATCAATTTACCCTCATGCGCGATGTTTCCGCACGAAGCATGCGACCATCATGATAACCATCCACGTAATGGGGGACTCTTGTTTTCTAGCGGGGTCCGTTATTTCGCTTCCCAGATATCCCGCTCAATGAGGTTTTGCAAACACCTCCCCCGAGGAAATTCAACAGATCCCGCCTCGAAAACACATGCCCGCGCCTTGCTGCGCCGATGCGAGACCGCCAGTGGAACCCCAGCGAAGGATAAAGCACAAGGAAGTATCGAACGACAGAATTGCCTTGGTGGCGATGGGGGATGTCGGCGGTGAGGCAGGGACCTGGCCCTGAATAGAAAGGGAGGGAGTCTCGAGCAGGGTTGCTGTTGTTGTTGGGAGCGGCGCCAATGCTGAAGAGAGTAGGGCGCTAGTCCAGCGTAAAACAAAATGAAGTCTCGAGCGGGAACGCTGCTTTTGTTGGGATGGCGCCTCTCGGCGGCGAAGAGGAACACCGCCTTGAGTAAGAAAGGAGGAAGCATCGAGCAGGAGCCGTGGTTTTGTCGGGACGGGGGCTGTCGGCGGCGAGGACCAGCACCGTTTCGAGGAACAGGAAAGGAAATCTCGAGCGGGAGCGTTGTTCTTGCTGGGAACGGCGCCAATTCAAAAAAGAGTAAGGCGCCAGTCCAGCGTGAAACGGAAGAAGTCTCTGGCGGGAACGCTGGTTTTGTCGGGGCGGCGGCTTTCGGCGGCGAGGAGGAACACCGCCTGGAGTAAGAAGGGAGGAAGCATCGAGCGGGAGCCGTGGTTTTGTCGGACAGGGGCTGTCGGCGGCGAGGAACAGCACCGTTTTCAAGAAAAAAGGAGGGAGCCTCGAGCGGGAGCGTTGTTCTTGCTGGGGACGGCGCCAATTCAAAAGAGAATTGGGCGCCATTCCAGCGTAAGACGGAAGGAAGTCTCGGGCGGGAGCGCTGGTTTTGTCGGGGCGGCGGTTTTCGGCGGCGAGGAGGAGCACCGTCTTGAGTAAAAAAGGGAAGAAAACTCGAGCGGGAGCGCTGTTGTTACTGAGGGCGGCGACGATGAGAGAAAGACGAACGTGCCAGTCCAAGGTAAAGCGGGAGGAAATCTCGAACGGGAGCGCTGATTTTGTTAGGACGGCGGCTTTCGGAGGCGAGCAAGGACACCAGCCGTGAGTAAAAAAAAGGTCTCGAGCGGGAGCGTTGTTGTTGTTGTTGGGGGGGTCGGTTTTGGCGGCCCCCCAATCCGCTCGAGCGTGAGCCTCATTTCCAATGAAAATGTAGCCGGCGCCTCGGCGAGAGCGTCAGGGCGCCTTTAAGGTGTCTAACCATAAAAATTGTTAACAAGTAGCATTCAACAACGGCAGCAACAACCACAACCACAACCACAACCACACCAACAACAACCACAATCACACCATCAACAGCAACAAGAACAACAACCACAACACCAACAACGACAACAACAACTGCATCAATTACAACTACAACTACAATCACTGCAACAGCAATCGCAACAACAACCAATACAACAAACAACGGGCAACCATAAAAACGGCAGCAGCAGCAACAACAACAATCATGGTAAGACGGTTCGTTCTTATATGCGCGCGTGTCATTCAATTTGCATATCCAAAACCCTGGATACCCCCCCCCCCCCTTTCGTCTTCGATCGTACCCCCTTTTGGTGGGTATACTCATTCCCTGCCACGTGTGGTTGCTGAAGCCCTTGAAAACGAAGGGTAACAGATAACAGGGGAGCGGATGTTGCAGGCCCAAAAAAGCAAAACAAAACCGTGGCGCTCAACAAAGCGCGGGCCAACGTGCCCTGGCCAACGGCCAACATGGCCAACGGCCAACACCAAGGGCACACGCGCAGAAAGGGGGAATCACGGACACAAGCTGGGACCTGACCTCTGGCTTCCTTTCCCTGACTAACTCCCAATAGCGCCAGAAACGCTGTTGCTCAGGGGGGAAATCAAGAAAAAGACAGCAAGCCAAGGACCGCCCTACACCCCGCGCCAAAATGGCGCACGGGGGTTCGGGATCGGCGCCCAAGGGAAAATACACGGAACGTCGCCCAGCGCCCGCACCCCCACAAGCACGGCAACAGTATGCCCGCGGCAAAGAGCACTGCAACCAAAAGGTCGCAGGCGGGATGCCGCGGGCCCCGCCTCCGTGATCGTCAACGGCGGTTCACCTCAGACCAGGAGGCGCCACTGGGGTCACCCCGCGCCAGGGAGGGAAGGGGTAAGAAAGAGGGGGGGCGATGATTTGCGCTGCGAGTGGCGAATCAGTTTGTGCCATGGCTTGCGCCAGCCACTCAACACAGGTTAACAATAAGTCTCGCCATGGGTCGCGCCTCAAACAGCGCCACGCACCACCCCCTTGAAAGAACAGATCGTGGATACCCCAACGGGGGGACGTACAGCCGCGAACTGGTGTCAGAAACAAATTTCGTGGAACCCTGAAAAGAAGCGGGATGTTGGGAGAGTGGGGCGGAAGGATAATGAGAACTGCAGAGGTGTCGAGAGGAACACGGAAGCCCCAAGTGAGAGCGCGATTCTTCAAGAAATTGTAAGGAAGTATGAAGCGGGAGCCGCGACCCGGTGGTAACTTGCAAAGAAGTTCCAAACGACAGCGCGATTATTCAATATATTGCGAAGAAGTATGAGGCGGGAGCCGTTGTTGTTGCTGTTGTTGTAAACCGGGGGCCAAAGACACAGTTTGACCCTTAAGACTTTCCCTGATAAAAAAAAACAAGGTGCGAGCCCCGGGAAGGGCACTGTGACAGACCAACAGCAGCAGTAACAGCAGCAGCAGCAGCAGACCTCCGTCATGCATTCTTCGTGGACCGAGAGAGGGGCTCCGAGGCGGCCGCGGCCCGCGGCCCGCCGGCGAGGGGCCGACACGCCCGCGGCAGGGGCGGCCGCCGAGGAGCCCTGCCCTCCGCAGGCGCGGGCGCGCCCGCGGAGGGCGGCCGCGCGGCGAGGAGCAGCGCCAGGGCGGCAGGCCGCCGCTCGCGGGGGCGGCGGCGGCGCGCGGGGAGGGCGGCCGCGCGCGCGCGCGGCGGCCGCGCACCGAGGCGGCGGCGAGCGGCGGCGGCCGCGGGAGCTTGCCGCCCAGAGGGCAGGCCGCCAGGGGGCCGGAGCCGCGCGGCGGCGACGGGGGCTCGGCAGAGCTCTGCCCCAGGGAGCGCGCCAGGTGAAGAGCTGACTCGGCGCACAGCGGCCTCACAGCTGTGTCAAAGGGAAGGCGCCCGAGGGGCGCGCCCTTTGGCCCCCGCCGAGGCCGCCGAGGGGAGTCCCCCCGCCGCGGGCCCCCCTGCGCCCGCGCGCACGCCTGCAGCGTCCCCGCGGCGCAGGGGACCCGCGCCCCTGCCGAGGGCAGCGACGGCCGCGCGACGGCCTGGGCGGCCCACCCCTCCGCCCCGCCGCCCTGGGTCCTGCCGCGTAGCGCGGCGGGTCCGCTCGCGCCTCTCGGAGGAGGCCGACACGCCGGGCAGCGCGGCGAGGGGGGCACACGCTCACCAGGAATGAGGAGCGGAGGAGACAGCGAGGAGCGGACCAGAGGAGGAGGAAGAGGAGGAGGGCAGAAGCACAGTCAAGCCATGTCCAAGACCATGTCCCCAGCTCTCCGGCGAGACCACCAGCAGCGACTACGACAGCATTGCGCGCGCAGCCTCGCACATGCGCAGCGGGGTTAGGCACTGTCCCAGCCAAGTATCTCAAAGCCGCTGAGGAACGCACTGGCCAGGATGGCGAGGGGGTGTCTTCATGATCGGCGAAACAGTAGAAGGACACGGAGGGTTGAGGAGTGACAGCAGCCGAGGGGCGCGAGTCCGTCGAAGACGAGAGTAGCACCGCAGCAGGGCACGCGCGGCGGAGACCGACGCGGCCAGGGAATTAGCCAAGGAGTGTTGAGGAGAAGGAGGAGGAGGAGGAGTAGAAGGGTGTGGAGGAGAGGGTTGTTGGTGCGGGGGGGGAGCGTGGTGGAGGAGGGTGGTGGGGGAGGGTGACATGGGTTCAGCAGCAGCAGCAGCAGCAGGACGGCGCAAAGAGGCACCCTGACCTGGGACTGCCCGGTGCGCTGCTGGTGCTCTTCCGGGACTCCTGCGGGGTCTCCAGGCTCGCCTGCTGCCCGCGGCCTCCTCCTCTTCCTCCTCTTCCTCTTCCTCCTCCTCCTCCTCCTCCTCCTCCTCCTCCTCCTCCTCCTCCTCCTCCTCCTCCCTTCCTCCTCCTCCTTAGCAGCAGCATCATCATAAGCATCGACATCATATGTATCATCGCCCTCATCTGTCTCATCCTCATCATCATCAGCAACATCATCGCCGTAACCAACATAATCGGCATCAGCATCGGCGTCAGCATCATCATCACCATCAGCAGCATCATCATAAGCAGAACCATCATAATCAGCACAAGCATCAGCAGCAGCAGCATCAACAGCAGCGGCATCATCATCATTATCATCCTCCTCATTGTCATCATCAGCAGCAGCATCATCAGCATCATCATCATTCGCTATCAAAAACAGCATCAGCAGCATCGTCAGCAGCAACATCATCCTTCTTATCATCATCATCACCATCATCAGCCGCATCAGCATCGGAATCATCATCATCATCAGCACCATCATCATCGACGTCGTCATCATCAGCAGCATCATCATCATCGTCATCTGCATGATCAGCTGCAGCAGCATCATCATCGTCGGCATCATCAGCCTCAGCATCAGCAGCAGCAGGATCCTCATCAGCAGCATCAGCATCGGCATAATCATCATCAGAATAATCGTCCTCATCATCCTCATTCCTTAGCATCATCATCATCAGCAGCAGCATCAGCATCACAATCATATTCAGCAGCATCAGCGACAGCAACATCATCACCACTGTCACCATCATTATCATCATCACCATCATCAGCATCAACATCAGACTCATCATCATCAGCATCATCATCACAATCAGCATCATCATCCTACTTATCATCATCAACAGCATCATCAGCATCATCGTCCACCTGTTCTTCCTCCTCCTCCTCCTCATCATCATCCTCATCCTCGTCCTCACCCTCATCCTCACACCCACGCTCGCACTTATCCTCCGCCTCCGCCTCCTCCGCTTCCTCCTCCATTTTCTCATCATCCTCATCCTCCTCCTCTTCCTCCTCCACCTTCTCCTCCGCCTCGTCTTCCTCCTCCACCTCTATCCCTTTTCCTTATCTCATAAATAACTCCTCCCTGTCGCACCCCGAAACGCGTCGGTAGGGCGGACACGGCTTTCGCTAGAGACTTCCTCAATATGTAATGGTTCTCAAGCTGAAATTTGCACTCGTTTCACTGACGGAGCGGGTCGTTTTGAACATGTGGCCTTCGCCTCAGCGCCGCACACATTCGTCTTGAAGGCTTACATGAGTTTCACGAATGGAGGGCGGGTCGTCAAAATATGGTTCTCGCCTTAGCGCCGCGCACATTCGTCTGGAAAGTTGCAGGAGCTTCACTGATGGAGCGCGGTAACTGTTCAAAATGCAGCTCTCGCCTTAGCGCCGCGTGCATCCGTCTTAAGAATTCCCAAAAGTGTCAAGGAGTATCCTAGCTGACGGCTCAGAATGTATGCGCTTGTGTATGTGCTTGTGTATGCCCCAGATGGACATACCCCACCTGGGGAAACCAAAAGGTACCGATACCGCTACTCCCAGGACCTTTCCTGGGGTGCGTTCTGACCAGGACTCCGAGGCGATTCCAGCGGTGGCGACGAGTGCCCCCCAGGAGACCCCAAAAAGAGAAAACGAGGGAGGGGTAGCGGTATGGGTACCTTTTGCTCCGGGCGAGGCCATGGCTGGTCTCCGGAGCGGGGAGGTCGCGGCTCTCCGCATTGGCGACGGCGAGCGACCGCTCATCGCGGGTTCTGCGGCGCGCCGCCTGGGTCCGCGAGCGCTGACGCGGGTCAGGAAGGAGTCACTCTTTGGACGCCCGAAATGGGTACTGAGAAAATGGGCACAATGCCCGACAACAAATGTTGTCCAAAACCGACAGCGGCCGCTATTGGGCGGGCGGCTCTGTCTTCAAAGAACGGAGTCCGCGGCGGCGCGGACAGCGAGACCTGTTCGAAATAAACAGGAACTGCTGTTGGGCATTGTGCCCATTCTTTCCGTACTCATTTCGATCGCCCCAAAACTCAGAAACGCAAACCAGCGCCAGCAGTGCGGGGTTGGGAGGCCCAGCAAAGCGCCGAACCCCACATGCGGACGATGGAATCCCTGGCAGAAGCCAGACCAGCAGCAGCCTGCCTGAAGGCGGAGGAGGAGAAGTAAGGAGGAGGGGAAGGAGGAGGAGGAGGAGGAGGAAGAGGAGGAGGAGGAGGAGGAGGAAGAGGGAGGAGGAGGAGCGGGAGGAGGAGAGGAAGACGGGGGAGGAGAGGAAGAGGGGCTTGATGTTGATTGCTGATGCTGTTGTGATGCTGGATGTGATGCTGTGATGATGATGATGATGTGATGACGATGATGATGATGATGTTGATGAGATGATGATGTATGATGATGATCGATGATGATGATGATGATGATGATGATGATGATGATGATGGATGATGATGATGATGATGATGATGATGATGATGATATATGATAATGATAATAATGATGATGAGGAGGAGGAGGAGGAGGAGGAGGAGGAGGGCGGAGGAGGAGGGAGGAAGAGGAGGAGGGCAGGAGGAGGAGAGAGGAGGAGGAGGAGGCGGAGGGAGGAGGAGCAGGAGGAGGAGGAAGGAGGAGGAGGAGCGGATGGTATGCTTAGAAGGAGAGAGGAGGAGGAGGAGGAGCAAGGAGGAGGAGGGAGAGGGGAGGAGTGAGGAGGAGGAGGAGGAGGAGAGAAGAGGAAGGAAGAGGAGGAGGAGGAGGAGGAGGGAGGAGGAGGAGGAGGAGGAGGAGGAGGAGGAGGGGATGAGGAGGTGGAGGAAGGGATGGGAGGAGGAGGAGGAGGAGGAGGAGGAGGAGGAGGAGGAGGAGGAGGAGGAGGAGGAGGAGGAGGCGAGGAGCAGGAGGAGGATGGGAGGAGGAGGAGGAAGGTGGAGGCGGGAAAACCCCCCCACCCCCCCCCCCCCCCCCCCCCCTCGGCGGAGGAGAGGAGGAGGCAGGAGGAGGAGGAGGAGGAGGGGGGGGTGAGGAGGAGGAGGAGGAGAGGAGGAGGGAGGTGGAGGAGGAGGAGGGGGAGGAGGGAGGACGGAGGAGGAGGAGGAGGAGGAAAGGAGGAGGAGGAGGAGGAGGAGGAGGAGGAGGAGGAGGAGGAGGAGCGACGGTAGCTCTGGAAGGACGAGGAGGAGGAGGAAGAGGGAGGAGGAGGAGGAGGAGGAGGAGGAGGAGGAGGAGGAGGAGCAGCCTTCCTGAAGGTGGACCTGGAGGCCGCCACCACCTCGGTGGAACGAGCGCCCGCCACAGCGGCACTGGAGGAGAAGGACGAAGAGTGGCCGCGGCTGCCCTGCTCGCGTGGCGTGCGGACAGCCACATCGAGGCATCTCTGGCGCCTTGTCTGGGGGGCGCTTCCACCCGACAGACAGCGAGAAGGGGCCCCCCATCGCCAGCGGCTTTCTTCGGCGGCGAGCGAGGGGGGAAGTGAGAAGGGGAAGGCCTTCTCAGAAGGCACCAGGGCTTCTCAGAAGCCCTCGCGCCTTCTGAGCGGTTTTCTGCGTCTTTGGGGAAGGTTTAGGAAACTGCTCAGAAGGAAAGGAGACTTCCTTGCCTTCTGAGAAGGCCCCCCCCCTTCTCACTTCGCCCCCAGACGCGCCGCCGATGTGTCTCCGTGGCGCAGAGGGTGGCCTTGGACGGCTTCCGCGACGAGCTGCTCCGCCTGAGCCCGCAGGCCAAACTCTACAGCGACCTGGACGACCCCTGACTCCACGTGGCCAAAAGAAGAAAAAGCGGCACAGACGTAAACCTTTGGCGCTCCGCGCGGACTTCTCAGCGCCGCTCGGGGGGACTCCGGCGCGGATCCGAGAGACCCGCGCGGAGCACCAGAAGTTTTGTGTCCATGGCGTTTCTATACTCCTTTGCAGCGCGTTGCATGCGTGCACCCTGGCAGTGCAGCTTCCCAGCAGTTGCAGCCAGCCCCACTCCACACGCTGGCCTGCCCGCCGAGGTGCTGCGTGAAGCTCCGGCCCACCGCTTTAGGTTGATTCGTCTGTGCGCGGCCCGCTCTGACTGGACACGCCGCTGGCGCTCTCGCCTACGGCCGCTGACCAAAAAAGTTTCTGTACTTTATGTTGAGTTCTCGGAGGGCCTTGTCTGTCCCCTCTCGGCCCTGTCCGCGTCGAATCGGTGTCGAATCCGTGTCGGACTCGTCGGATCCGTGTCGAGCCCGTGTCGAATCCGCGTCGAATCCACGCCAGCTCCGCGACGAGTCCACATCAGCCCGCCTCGGGCACAAGAAAAGACACGAATTTGGGGGACAGGCGGGGTCCCCCGAAGATGCAACGGAATGTACTCCTTCGGTGGACGCAACGCTGGCCGAGCTCGCCCGGCGGGAGGCCGAGCGAGGCGAGCGGGCGGCCGCCCGACCCCGAGCGACCCCGATCGGGGGGCGCGCCGTGCGCTCGCGGCGGATCCGCGCGCCCTGCGAGCGGGGCTCGCCGAGCGCCTGCCCGCTGCTCTCGGCAGGCAATTTCCCGCGGCCGCGGGGGCGCGAGGCCGAGGGCGGCAGCGCTCTCTCGCCGCCCCACGGGGTGCCGGCGAGCACGGTTGTCGTCCTCGTCCTCGTCCTCGCCCTCGTCCTCGTCCTCGTCCTCGTCATCGTCCTCGTGGTCATCCTCTCCTCTTCCTGGTCCTCGTGGTCGTCGCCCTCCTCATCACCGTCATCACCGTCAACACCGTCATCACCATCACCACGATCATCATCATCATCATCATCATCATCATCATCATCATCATCATCATCATCATCATCATCATCATCATCATCATCATCATCATCATCATCATCACCATCACCATCACCATCATCATCACCATCATCATCACCATCATCATCACCATCATCATCACCATCATCATCATCAGCATCAGCAGCAGCAGCATTCTCATCAGCAGCAGCATCAGCAGCATCATCGTCGTCATCATCATCTTCATCAGCATCATGCTTAGCATCGTCATCATCAGCATCATCATCAGCATCGTCATCATCAGCATCATCATCACCACCATCATCAGCAGCATCATCAGCATCATCATCAGCAGTCTGGCCCAGGCAGGGCAGAAGCTGCACGTAGACAAGCGCGTTGCACCACTCGCAAATGGCCTGGACCCGCCGCGTGGGATCTGCGATCCATGCCATAGAGGAAGACGTGTTGTTTAAGACCGCTTGCGAGCAGGCACTTTGCGAGTAGGGGAATGCACTTGGTCAGCAAAAGCTCTTGGGAGAGCTCGAGAAGCTGCAAAAGGCCGTGCTCCAGCAGCACGCGGCGGCAGCCCTCCGCCGGGCCTGCGCGGTCCCAGCGGGCCAACATCCCCTGCGAACGGAGGACGGAGGGCTCGCAACGGGAACTCCGCGGCGCATCGGCACGACGACCTGCCGACGGGCTGCTGAAGGGACCTTCTGGAGACGGACCTCGACAACGAGGCGAATCAGGGATCTACTGACCCGTGTCAATCCAGACCAGGGCCAGTCGGGCTGTGCAAGATTCTGCAAGGTCTTGTAGGATCCTGCACCCAAGCCCGGGTCAGTGCGCCCCTGGCTCTGCAGGATCCTGCCAGATCCGGCTCTCTGGCCGACCCCCGTTTGCGTCGACCCCCGCCTCTTGATCCCCGAGCCAAGGAGCTCCCCGGCCTCCCGGCCAGGCTTGGAGGCCTTGAGGCGCGCAGCTGGTACATACGCGGCGCCACCCGCTCTTCCTCACCTCCTGGTCGACAGCGGCGCAGGAGGTCGCGGAGGACCAGGGCGGCGGGACGTGGCCGGATGCCGGGAACGGCTGCCGCGGATGGCCAAGAGCTGGACTGCAAAGCCACGGGCTCGAGCTCGCGCCAGGGGGGGGACCTGGCGACCACGCTGCAGACGCCGCTGAAGCAAGGCTTGGCCATGGAGAGGGTGCAAAGGACTCAGCCCGCAGCTCTGCTGCACCCAGGAAGGGCCCGCCCTGCACGCTCGACCTCTGGCAGGCCGGGGCGCGGCTGCGGCTGCAGCTCCCGCGCGCGGAACTCAGCCAGCAGGAGCTCGCGTCCACGCCAGACGCCTGCTGCCTGCGCGCCGCCTGCGGCGCCGGCCGCCACTGGGCGCCGGACGAGAGCGGCTGCCATCCACTGAGTCTGACCTGTGAGCCAGGCAGGGGCGTAGTGTTCTGTTGTTCCCATCGCACTTAAGAACCACATCCAATAAATAATTGCGAGCACCCAGACAAGTATGGAAACAGTGTCTACGCGACACGCTAGCGAAGTGTCGAACGAGTATCGCATCCCAGGCCCCAACACGTGGAAACCCTCAAGGTTCGGTACTCCTTGGCGCTCGAAATTCTTTCTGGTGGTCACGACTCAAAATAGTTTGGAACATCGTAAGCGTACGTAGTGGCGCGCCACGGGGGGGGGCTGCACAGGAGGCTCGGCGTCCTCCTCCAGCGCCGGCGCGGCGCGCGGCCTCTCTTCGAGCAGAGGGTGCCAGCCCGAGACCGCCGCCACTCCGGCGGGCGGACCGAGCGCGCCGCCCTTCCGAGACTTGCAGTACCAGGACGACGGCGGGGTCCGCCTGGTGGCTGGACGCCGCCGTCCGCCACCTGGCGGCAGGCACGCAGGCCGAGCTGCGGGCGGCCGCGCGCCGTGGCGGGGAGGCTATAGCCGACGCGGCGAGCGGGACAAGCCCGCCCGCCGAGGCCTCCCCCGCGACCTGCGGGCGCCCCTCGTCCCGGAGGCGGGGGGGCGGCTCGACGCCGAGGCCCGCCTCTGACTGCCTCAGGCAGGTGCCGCCCCTGCCCCAGGACCAGCACCAGCGGAGCTGACGCGGGCCTTCCAGGTCCTCAGCTGCGGCCCGCAGGCCGCCACGGCGCCCAGGGCGCAACAAGCTCCGGAGGGCGGCCGGCCTCCGCTTGGCGGCGCAGGCGGCCCGCGGCGGCCGCCGCGGGCCTCGCCGCCGCTGCCAGCGCGCCAGGCCCGGCAGGCGAGTGGCCGGCGCTCTCTGGGCGACAGGCCTACAGCGGCCGCCGGACCTGGCTCGGCGGCCGCTGCTGGGCCAGGCTGGGCGCCGCTGCTGACCGAGGAAAGGGGGTCCAGGCCAGCCGGGCGCCGAGGCTCGGCGCCTGCGTCGGCCGGGCCCGGAGGCGGGCTGGCGGAGTGCGCTGGCGGCAGCCTCATCTCGAGGTCGGCCTGGGGCTCCCCGGGTATAGCGCTGCCAGAAGCCCCGGCTGGCACAACCCCTGCCCCCCCCCCCCGGGGAGCGATCGCTGTCTGGGGCTCGGAACGGCAACGGTTGCTCCCAGGGGTTCGGTGCCCCGCACCGGGGGATTGCGACGCTCCCAGCCAAGCCTCGCGAGGACAGGCTGCCTCTTTTCCCTCCCGCCAGCACCTCCTCCCCCTCACACCTGCCCCTCCTCCTCCCCCTCCTGCTCCCACTGTGTCCGAGCGCGCCTCGGTGTGCGCGTGCCAGGCGCGGAGGACCGCCTTCATGCTCCACCTCTCCTGCACCTGCACTCGGTACCTTTGCGGCGGGGACTGGTTTGTGGACGCCATGACAATGGACACTCTAACAGCCCTCTCATTGAATTTAAAATGTGCTTCCTATTGTTAAAAACTGGATTCAGCATGTCTCAAACATGTTTGTTGCATGGTTGTAGACATGTCATAGACATCTGGAAGAGATTTGACAACATGCCTCCTCTCCATTGCTCGTCTTCCACAAGGAGAGGGGACCTCGGAAGGTCGCGGAGGTCTTCGGAGGGACTCGCCGTGCCTTCCTCATTGCTGGCTCCGGACGTGACTACGGTCAGGAACTTGTGCTCAGCGTGCCGCTCCGCCGGTTCTGGCCCACCACGCTTCGGCGCGACATGCTAGCCGCCTCCAAGTTTTAGGTCCGGCATGTTTCCCTACGGGCCGATTTTGGAAGAACAATACAAGATAGCCAAGCAATATTCCAAAAATAAAACAATTTAAGGAAAGATCGTCCCCAGACTGTGCTCTGGCTATTTCTGGATACTTCTCCTGTAGAGGGGCACGCCCGACCTGATCCAAGTTCTCAGGCGGCACCCTTCCTGAGCCTGCCGCCCCGCGGCGCGGAGCTGGCGCGCCCTCCGCTAGCAGGGCAGGGCGTGCGGCCAGGGCCGCGGCCGCGACACATGAGCGTTTCCTTCTTCGGCGTTTCAACATCGGGCGGCAAGGGCAGGGGGAGGGGTTGGAAGCTTGGAAATTGGCACCAACACCAACATCAGGGGTTGCCTCCACGCGAGGAAGATGATCCTGGATTTTGGTGTTGGTGGTAATCTTTCGGCCACCTAGAAAACCCGAATATTACCACCATCACCTGGATCGGGATCATCTTCCCTCGGTGGAAGCACGCCGCCGATATTGGTGTTGGTGTCAACCTCGAGGCCTCCGAAGGGGGGGTTCTGGCTCCGGACCTCTGCTTAATGCGACTGTTTGCGGCTGTGCGTCCTATAGAGGAGGCTCCACCTGCCTGAAACAGGCGCCAAAAACAGCCAAAATCTACTCCCTGGGGGAGGGGGCGGGGGGGGGGCGAGGGCCCGCGCCGATCGGCAGAACAAGGAATCAAAAACGATCACCACCCTGAGCAAGAGCTCCCGACCGCAAATCTGATTGCAGGCTCTCGGGGATTCTGGGAGGTTTCCGGGTGGCTGCTGGAGGCCAGGTGCATCTCCAGCAGCCGCACCTCGCAGAAGAGCCGCTGGGGGTCGCCCAGGGGCCCTTCGCGAGCGGCCCCCTGCAGCCCACCGCGCGGACTCTCCTGGGGAACCCGATGGTACCGCCACAGCTACTCCTTGGATCGGGTCGGGCGAAAGGGGGGGATAGCAAAGGGGGGGGGGGTTGAGAATCAGCTCACGTAGCTGATTTTCCCGGCGCCGCCCGGCGCCGGAGGCGGCCATGTATCGAGGAAGAGGCCCCTCGGTGAGGCCGAAACCAGCTGCATGCAGCAAATTTCGTACCCCCCCTTTCCCAATCCCCCCCTTTCGCCCGGCCCGATTGGACCAGGAGCGCTCTGGCCGGAACTTCGAGAATCTAGCCGTGGCGGCGAGGGTCCCAGGGGGCTCAGGGGGGCGAAAAAGCGAGGCAGGGGCAGCGGCAGGCGGCAGGCTCGCGGCCGAAGCAGCCAGGCCCCCGGAGAGGCTGAGGAGCTCGGGGCGGCCAGCTCTCGTGGGCTCTGGCCTCGAGGCGCCCGTGGCAGGCAACAGGGTTAGGCCAGGCAGGTCCCCCTAGAGGCGGATGTGTGGAACGACAAACTAAAAGCATACAACAACAACAACAACAACAACAACAACAACAACAACAACAACAACAACAACAACAACAACAACAACAACAACAACAACAACAATTACTAGCACGTGGGGACACTCCGTTCTCACCAGTGCCAGGGTTTTCATAGGAGGCGGGCAATACCCCCCACTTTGTGGGGGGGCCGGTTCAAGCTCTACCAAATTTCCAAACGACTCTTCGCCACCACCCACACCCAGCTTCCCGCCCTATGACGTTCGGACACTTCACTTCGTGGCATGCGGACGACCGTGGCTACTATTCACGGCCCCGCGGCCGACGACGACGGCGTGCGCGCGCGAAGAAAAAACGAATGTGTCCCGCATGGTATTATTTGACAGGGTTGATGGCCCTGGCAGGTGCGCAACCGTTGTTGCAGAAGTTCGAAAAAGTTGCTCGCAAAAGCCCGTTTGACAGAAATGTTTAAAAGTGTTGGGTTTCCTACGAATCCGCAAGAGCGCGCGGGATGAGATTTTGACATTTTTTTGTTGAAAAACCATTGGTTTTTTGATGTTTTTATGTTAAAATCGCTCCGAAAACTAAGGTTTTGGAAGGATTTCGTCTTGCGCGCGCGAATGTCCACTTTACCTTATTTTTTGCAAGGGATTCTTGAAGTTTGGTTATGTTAGAACAAGAAATGTCCACTTTAGCTTATTTTTTTGCAAGGGAAAACCGATCGTAACAACACAACCGGATCCGGACTCCCCCGTTTTGCCTGAGACTTCCTCACGGAAATGATGAAAATGAGGCTGCGGCCTAGGCGCGGCGGGGGGGTCGTGCACCAGGGGCCCCAACAATAATTATTCTTTAGAAGTAATAATGTTCAACAACAACAACAACAACAACAACAACAACAACAACAACAACAACAACAACAGCAGCAACAACAACAACAACCACAAAAACCACAACAACAACAGCAACAACAACAACAACAACAGCAACAACAACAACAGCAGCAACAACAGCAACAACAACAACAGCAGCAACAACAACAACAACAGCAACAACAACAACAGCAACAACAACAACAACAGCAACAACAACAACAGCAACAACAACAACAGCAACAACAACAACAACAACAACAACAACAACAACAACAAATACACGACCAAGGAACCCCACATACCTATCTTATGGTACGTGCGCACTAAGCAACGAGCAACTGCGACCTTCGATTACATACCCTGGCGCTCCGAGCCAGCCGGAGCCAAAGGGTTTACAGATCTGGAGGCTGCGCAAACCCCTGCTAGTCCAACTGATGGGATGCAACGGCGAGACCTGCCCCACATGCGCACCCCCTCTGGTGTCGAGAAAGGGCCACGCCTGCCACGCCCCGCGACCCTGGGACGGATAGAGACCGCGGTGAGGGACCACCCCCTGCGCACCCCCTCTGGTGTCGAGAAAGTGCCACGCCTGTGTTGCCAGAACCCCACGTGCCGTGCATGCATCGCGATCGGGCGAGGCGAGGGAGAGGAGAGGAAGAGGAGGAGGGGAAAAGGGAGGCGTGTGGGAGGAGACGCGGGTGCGGCGCGGGTGGAAAGAACACCAGAACCCCACGAAACGTGTGGGGGAAAACGAACTAGTCGAAAAGTCGTCCTCTGCCTAGTTGGTCAACTGTTTCCGAGTGCTCCTCCTGTAGAGGGACGTGCCCGACTGCACACCACGGCCCGCGGGCGAGAGCCTTCAGCGGGGCGGCGCGCGGGCGTGCCGAGGCGGGCCCCGCCCGGCCAGCCGAGGAGCCGCAATGGGGGACGCCGCGCCCTCCGCCAGGGGCCGCGGGGAGGGCCCGCGGAGGCCGGCGGAGACAGCACGAAGGCAAAACCCCCTCGAGGCGAGGCAGGCAGGACGAAGGGCAGACCCCCGCGAGCAGTGGAAAAATCACGACGGTGGGTTTCTCGACCTGTTCGGCCTCTGGGGGCCCTTGCCCGGGCCGCGGGGCCGCCAAAAAACGACTCGGGATGAAAAACCAGTCCCAGAGAATGGGTCGAGACCCCTGGGGGTCGACGTCGCGAAAAAATCAGAACATCGGGGGTCTGGGAAGAGAGGCCAAGGCCAGGGTTAAAACGAAGCCAAGACGAGGACAAGTCCAGAACAGGACAAATCGGGGACCTCTGAGATCCGGCGGCTCTCGAGGCTTTTATGGGCGCCGCGGCCGTCTCGGAGCGTTCCGGAACGCTCCCAGAAGGTTCTGGAACGCTCTGGAATCAGACATGCGACGTCCTGTTTTTTTCAAAACGCGGTCCCCGGAAATACCAACCCCGTTCCCCGGGACTCTGCGACTGTCCCGGGGCCGGAAGAGGGCCCCCCAAAGGCCAACAACGGCCCAAAACCTCCCGTCCTGCGAGCCCCGCCCGAAGGGTACCCAGGGTCTCGGGAGTCGGACACGTGCGCGCCCCGGTCTTGGTCCGCTGCGA